AAAAAAAAAAAAAAAAAAAAAAATAAGTTTTTTATTTTCCCCCCCCCCCCCCCCGTCTTTTTTTTTTTTATCAGTTTTGATCAGTATGTACGCTCACGTAACTGCCGCCCTATCCACATGTGTGACATTTGCATCACCCCAGAAGTGTCCTGGCTGCTCCCAGAGGCTGCCACTGTGGCCTAGTCATGCCACGGGGCAGGCCTGGCTCTGAGCTATGTCTTATGCTGCCAGTGTGACTGGTGCCCCAGCACAGCCTCAGGCTCCTGACCTTGTTTCTGCTTGTGTCGGGGCCATTCCTCTCTCCACTGAGCCGTGCTTCTCCTCATGGACGTACTGCCCTGGTCCTCCTGTTTAAGTCCATTTGGGTGACACCCATGAGTGCAGCTGCCGGCTCATAGGGCTCACGCTCAGTGAATGTGCACCCCAGCGTGTGTGTGAGCCCTGCCACTCCACTGCTCGCTGCATCTGCTGTCATCAACATTTCTTATTTTCACTGTGGAACGCGGATGCCTCCAGGAGAGCTCAAGCCACCTCTGCACATGGCTGGCCTGGACCCAGAGGCTGCCTGCCAAGAGCCCCACAAGCTCTCACAAACCCCTAACCTGCTGTGCTCTCTGTTTCAGATGTACCGACTCACACTGCGAACAAGCAAAGAAGCCGTCTCGCAGAGGCTGTGTGAGCTGCTGTCAGAGCAGTTTTAATCAACGCGGGTGGAAGGTCAGGCCACGCATTTGTGCGTTTTCTTCATCTCTGCTGTTTGTCTTCATTACCACACTGCAAATAAATACCCCATCTGAGTACTGCAGTTCGAGGCACCTCCCAATCCTGCTTTTCCAGAGCCTGTCCCTTTCGGTGTGGCTAGGAACATAAATATGTGGTTTAAGAAGAGAAGCTGAGCCTGACTACAGTGGGCCTGCTGAGTCAGAGGAGGGGTGTGGGTCCTGGGATCACTTTCCATAGAAATCAAGACAGTTCTGTGGTTAAATCTACAAATTAAAGGGAAATTAGAAGTTTGGATGAAAATGGAAAATTTTTTGAAATTTTATTGGAATGCCGCTGCTCTGTGGCTAATCTTCGTCTCTGGTTCACTGAGAGCAGCAGCACTGTGGTGCTTGTGGTGAGGCTGACCCGTGGCTGAGGCGTGCACCCTCAGAGGTGCCGTGCCCCAGCACAATCCCTGGGCCCCTGGGAGGAAGAGCACAGTGTCCACGGTGTCCATGTGGGTTTGCTGCAGCACCTATAGGACAGTTTTCTTGGGGCAGGATTTTAAATCTAGAAGTTAGAAACATTTGTGTCTTTAAGACTCTATTGGCAAAACCACGCATCTTGGCTAGATTGAATTGTTTCCCTTTTCTCAGCACCAGTGTTCTTAAAGGGATATTTGTGATGTTTTTACTGTTTTTTTGAGACTTTAAATTTACAGTTTGGTGGGCAGAGGTTCCTGGAGGCCCTGGAGGGCATGCAACTTGCTCACCCTCCAGCTCCAAGTGAGTGCACCGTCCCATGGTGTGCCTGAGGACCTGGAGGGTTCACTTGTGGTGACGGAGCGGGACTCTGGAGGGCATGCTTGTCTCCCCCCGTTCAGTGGCTTCCCCTGTCAGTGCAGTTACCCTGGGTCAGGGGTGAGGCTGAGTGCTGTGGGCCTGCACCTGTCCAGTCGCCGCTGGAGGCAGGGGTGGAGGAGGGCAGCCTCTGTGTGTTTGGTCAGGAAATGAAGATGCCAGGGTGGCGAGGATACGCTGGAGCCACGTGCTGCTCCGATTGGCTTGGCTCCTATGTCGTCCCTCTGTCCATACCTGGGCCGCACGTCTGGCATCTCAAGCAGAGGACAGTGGAGTTGGGGCCAAGAGGCCCAGGGAACCCAGGCTGGGGCCTTCTACTCCGTACCTGAGATGCGGCTCTGGGATTGGCGCAGACACACAGCTGTTGTCAGCACCTGAGATGTAGGAAGAGCACAAGCCCCGTCATCAGCTCCCTGTCTTCCAGAGTCGCTGCTGCCCAGCTGCAGCAGGGGATCCGCCCACACGAGGGCCTTCACTTCAGCCTCGGGCCCGGCTCTGGGATTGGCGCAGACACACAGCTGTTGTCAGCACCTGAGATGTAGGAAGAGCACAAGCCCCGTCATCAGCTCCCTGTCTTCCAGAGTTGCTGCTGCCCAGCTGCAGCAGGGGATCCGCCCACACGAGGGCCTTCACTTCAGCCTCGGGCCATTGGCTGCTGCAGAGCGTCTGCTGCAGAGTGGGTGCTGCTGAGGGGAGCTGCAGGGAATCGTGTCCCACTCAAGGTCCCTACAGCCCCCACTCTGGAACCTGCGCAGTCTGCATGGCTCGCATTCCACCATATTGGACTCTGATCTGAGGGTGGCGGCATCAGAGTCACCAGCACCTCCCGTCTGTGTCCTGTGGAGCTCATGGTTTGTGGCTGTGCCTGTATCGCAACTCCCTGGCTGCAGCACCAGGCTTGCACTACAGATGGATGGCCTGGCCATGCACCCAGGAGGTGCTCCTCGTCCTCTGGTTCAAGCCTGCTGGACAGTGTTGCTGTCCTGTGTGTGGACTGCCAGGCCATGTGGCATTTGCTCATAGCCATGTGCAGCTCGGTGGCAGAGTTCTTCTGTGTCAGTTAACTCCCTCCCCTGAGCAGAGGAGAGGCTGCTCCATCTGGAGGACATGTCTCTCGGTACACTGTGCTCCTTTTCAAAGAAAAATAAATGCTAGAACAGTGTCGGAACATGTGCATTGTCTATAGGGGAGAAAACGTCCTACGTGCCATCACAACCCCTCCTGTTGGGCTGTGTGAGGTACTGATTGGGCCTTGCCTGCCCTGGGTGTGGGTGTGGGGTGCCAAAGCAACATGTGTGCCAGGAAGCAGCATGCCTTTTGCTCCACCAGTTTGATTCTGGGTGTGTGGTTGAGCCTTTCTGGACTCTGGTCCTATGGGGACTCATCAGCCTGGCCTTGTGCCTCCCCACTCTTCAGCATGTGTTGGGGGTGCAGCACCCCAAGAGTCACTTCCCTCTGGAGGCTTCAAGTCTAAGGCGCACAGGACAAAGAGGCCCAGAGGGTTCCTTCCTGGGGAGCAAACCTGCCGAGTCGCACACAGGGGTGAGGCAGCCACAGACAAGGCACAGGAGGGGCTCCGGGTTACAGACCAAGGAGGAGTGGCCCCAGGGGATGGTGGGCTTCCCCAGAGACTCTCTGACAGTCCTGAGTGTGGGAGTGGAGGGGCCCAAGGCCAGAGGCAGTGTCTCTCCCGGCCCATACTTGCTTGGGGGACACAGCCCTCCACTCCCTGATTCTGGAGGGCTGATGGGCACAGGTGGGGGTTGGGGGCTTAATACCCGAGGGTTTGGGCAATGACAGAAGAAGTGCTCACAGACCAGCCTCTTTGCCTGAGAACTGTTTATTGGAATCTATTCACGGGTAGGCAGCAGCCTCCGAGGACAAGCTTTGTTGGGGTGCGCATGGGTCCTGGTGGGGCCGTGCTGCCTGGTGAGGACTGCCACCTCCCCCACCCTCCCTGTCACCCTGCCCTTCCCTGACTGGGAACGCCTTGCCTCTGCCGTTTTTGGTGCTTACTTGTGCCTCCTGCCTCATCCATCCCTACCCAGGTGCCTGCCTCCAACTGATCTGACCAGTCCCGCCTCTCCCCAGGTACCCCCTCTGGAGCTGCCCACTTCCTGCAGTCTGTTGCTGGGGTCTCATCTCCAGGGTCCTGACCCGGCAGGTCTGCATGGCCATGATCAAAGGCTCCGATGTGTGATGATTGGCTGGTATGATCAGGAAGTGCCCTATATACCCAGGAGGGTCAGTGGTTTGTTGCCCACCTCAGACCTGCTCTGCCTGATCAGGATCTGTAGGAGTGTGGGTGGTCAGAGCCCCTGCCTGGCATCCCCTTTCCCCACAGGTACCCAGGTGAGCCATGTCCGAGGGCTCTTCCCAGGCCATGCCAGTGACCAGGAAAGGGGCTGCCAGCACAGCTAGCCCCAAGGAGATGTGGGCAGTGGTGTTTGTCCTTGCTTTTTAATCTGCAATCCTTCACATCTGGGAGAACAGGTGGTGTTCTAGACTCCACAGCGCTGGGGGCTGCACACACAGCTTCTGAACACCTGCAGAGTGAGCTCCAGCCACTGTCCTGGCACACTGGGGTCCTGGCAAGGCAGCTTGAGCTGCTTCTCGTGGGAGCTCAGGGGGTGGCAACAGCTGCAGTGGGCGTCCACCTGCTGGGTGTTGATGTTGAAGCTGCGAGGAGCCAAGACAGGCAAGGGTCAGGGCTGCCGCTTGCTCCCAAAGGGTCCCTTCCTTCCCCAGGCTGGGCCCACAGGAGCTGCTGCTACCCACCCACTGTCTGGTTCACAGGCAGTGATGGGCCACCCCGACCTCTGCCATGACTCCTCTGTGGGGAAGGGGCTGTGAGCCCCTGAGAACCCAGTACCTGTGGCGGGTTCCAGGCTGCGACTCACCTGGCGGAGGAGGCGCAGACGCCCTCACAACGGGTCAGGGTCACGTTCACTGTGCACCCCTTGTACGTAATCTTCTCCTCCTGCTCCTGCACACTACAGACCCCTGGGAGCCGATTGGGGAGTTAGGTGTGCTCCACACTCCAGGGCAGGTGAGCACAGAGGGAGGGAGCCACCCACTGCATAACCACCTGAACGTGAGGTCCCCTTGTGCTTCCCCTAACCCCCTGCCGTCTCCCCTTGTCAGAGCCTCACGGAGCTGACCTCAGCCACACACAGGGACAATCTGACAGCCTCTCAAGTTGGCTACACTGGGAGTCCCTCAAGGGTAAGGATTTTCTCAGAAGACCTAGCGGTGAGCTGGGTCTCAGAGAACTTGGCAGATACTGAGTGCTTGGCTTGGGTGACCCACTGCCCCTGGCTCCCAGCATCCCTGCCACTTCCCTTCCCACCCCAAATACCAACCTGTGGGCATAGGTGTCTCTGATCTGCTAGACCCAGACCCTGCAGAGGGCAGAGGAGTGAGTGTCAGTGTCCCCAGAGGGGGGCAGATGGTGTCATGGAGCTCCCTGCACCCTAGCTCAGGAGGAGGGAATTGGAGCAAGCCCCTTGGTCTGAGCTCCTGGAAAAGGTAGGTGGGGGCCCAGGCCATGACTGGAGGCCAGCGAGCAGCTCTGAGCAAGGTCAGCTGATGGAGAGGATGGCAACACTGGCATTAGAAACAGCCAGTGTGGATCTCAGGTTAAAAATTTCAAAAAGATTCCTGGGCAAAGACTGGATACTCTGCCCCAATGCCCCTCCCCTGCCTAAACCCAAGTCTGTTTCCTGGCAGCAGAGAAGGCAGACAACCCACCTGCCCTGCTTCTCCACCAAGGGCTCTCTCTAAGAGGTGGTGAGGGAGAGCTCTGGGTGGTCCCATGGGCCAACTGATTCCAGCTGTCCCTTACTCTTGACCTCCTCCTCCCTCACCTCTACTTCCTGGGATCACCTCCCCAGTAAAGGCTGCACCCAAGTACTTTTCTCAGGGAGGGACCTAAACCAAGATTTTGTCAGCCTGCAGTGAGGAGCCATCACCCACAGGAGAGGACTCAAAGCTGGCAATTGGCACTGCTGGGATGTGCTCTCTGGGAAAGCCCAGGGCATGTGAGGGGACCGCAATCCAGGGATAGATGGTGCGAGGAATATCCAAAGAGAGGGGAAGGGCATTCCTGTAGCACAAGGTGGGATCAGCAGCACTGCAGCTGAGGCATGGCCTGAGGACTCCTGAGGACTTGCTCTGTCTATGGGGAGCCCAGGGCCTAGGGGCGCTGGACATGCTGGAGGGCAAGTGGTAGCTGGGAGGAGGCTGCAGCTGTGAGACCTAGAGCTCGTGCTCACACCAGGCAGGAGCCCTGGTCTTGGTTAACCTGGGGTGAGGCACACATGTGCTCCTTTTCCTCTTTGCAACCTGAGGGAGGGCTGTGCTACTTGAGCTGCAGGGCCTTTGCAGTTCCTAACATCTTATGAGCTCCCAAAGGGGCAGCTGTGGAAGGCTGCTTGGGGGTGATGTCACCCTAAAGGGAGGCCAAGACTGCACAGTGGGAACACGGGGGTGGGGGGCACAAGAGCCTAGGTCAGGAAACAGCAAATGTCCAGAGGGGGGAATGTGCCTACCTGGGGAAACAGGAGTTTGCATGAGAAGTGCCCAAGACAGGAGAGGAGAAAGGGAGCTAGAGCAAGGTCAAGGAAGGCCTACCACAGGCCTGAGGACCTGGGGTAACATGGGAGTGTGAGGGAACAAATGAAGGCAGGGATTGCACAGGAGGTGATATTGAGGGCCATCCAGAGTGGAGAAGCAAGGCCAGCAGGAGGGCCATGCACCAAGGGTCACAGGGCTGGGCTACGGAGGTCCTACTTACCGGGTGAGCTGAGTGCAGATGTACCAAGAGAGACCTTGGGGCCCTCAGTGGAAGAGGACCCTCTGAAGGGGCTAGTCAGGAACACAGTGGTAGGCAGTTGCATGGTCCCAGGATGCCTGGTGGTGAGGTTGGTGGCTGGAGAACTTGGGATGGCTGTCACGCCCAGGGTGGATGATGCAAGGCCTGGCGTGGGGACTCGCGAGGTGAGAGAAGTGAATCGCGAGGTGGTGGACTGAGAGGAGAACACAGAGGAAACGGGGACGCTGGATGTGGTCCTGGGTGTGGACAGAGGGCCTGTGGTACTGGAGACTGCGACAGGGAATGGAGTGAGAGACACGTGGACAGGAGGCATGGAAGGAGAGGCAAAGTGAGGGGTAGACAGGGTGGCAGGAGGTGACAAAGAGGCCCTAATAGGAGTGGAGGTAGCTAGAGAAGAAGGGAAAGTAGGTAGAGATGCAGGATGAGATATATTTGTGGGTCGAGTGGAAAATGGAGTGTGGGAGACTGAGCTGCGGGTAGGTATGAGGGGTGGAGGAGGGACTGCAGTAGTTGCCTGGTGAGTAGGAGAAATAGAGGAGGACATGGAAGAGGAAATAGAAAGGGTGGACTGACTGAGGGTTGGCAGACAGGATGCAGTTGAGGTCCTGAGCCAAAATGTAGAATAATGTGGAAGACTGGTTGGAGAAACAAGAGTGGTTAGAGGACCTGAGACAGGGGGTAGTGAACTTGTAGAAAATGTTAAAGGAGGGCTGACACTAGAGATGTGGGGAAGCGAGGAAGGACTCACTAGGGAAGTTGAGCTTGTGCCCGTGCCGACTGAGCTGTGGCCTTGGCTGGTCCCACTGGTGGTCCGAGTCACTGGTTCGGCTGTGTGTGTGGGTCCTGTGCCCGTGAACGTTGTTATTGGAGGAATGGTCCCTGTTGATGTTGGGATGGAGGTGGAAGAGGCCATCTCTGGGCTGCTGGAGCTGAGTACCGGGTGCGAAGTTGGAGTGTGAGCTTGTGCCCGTGCCGACTGAGCTGTGGCCTTGGCTGGTCCCACTGGTGGTCCGAGTCACTGGTTTGGCTGTGTGTGTGGGTCCTGTGCCCGTGAACGTTGTTATTGGAGGAATGGTCCCTGTTGATGTTGGGGTGGAGGTGGAAGAGGCCATCTCTGGGCTGCTGGAGCTGAGTACCGGGTGCGAAGTTGGAGTGACCGAGGAGGTAGAAAATGGTGGAACGTGAGTGGCAAGGGAGGTCAGTGCGTGTGATGGGGTTGGCTGGCTGGTGGTGGTCTTGAAGGATGTCATAGAGGGAAGTCCTGTGGTGTGTGGAGTGGTGGAGACAGAACCTGTGGGTCGGGAGTGTGTGGTGAACGAGGTGTGGGGAGTGCTTGATGTGAGTGAAGTGGTGTGGACCTTTGGTTTCCCAGTTGTACTGGAGGACTTGGGGGTGACGGTGGTGGCATTAGCTGATGTGGACTCATGGTGGGGTGTGTAGGAAGGGTGAGACACCAAAGGAGTTGAGGTTGTGACTGTGCCGACTGACATGTGGGCTTGGCTGGTCCCACTGGTGGTCCTAGTCACTGGTTCGGCTGTGTGTGTGGGTCCTGTGCCCGTGAACGTTGTTGTTGAAGGAATGGTCCCTGTTGATGTTGGGGTGGAGGCGGAAGAGGCCATCTCTGGGCTGCTGGAGCTGAGTACCGGGTGCGAAGTTGGAGTGACCGAGGAGGTAGAAAATGGTGGAACGTGAGTGGCAAGGGAGGTCAGTGCGTGTGATGGGGTTGGCTGGCTGGTGGTGGTCTTGAAGGATGTCATAGAGGGAAGTCCTGTGGTGTGTGGAGTGGTGGAGACAGAACCTGTGGGTCGGGAGTGTGTGGTGAACGAGGTGTGGGGAGTGCTTGATGTGAGTGAAGTGGTGTGGACCTTTGGTTTCCCAGTTGTACTGGAGGACTTGGGGGTGACGGTGGTGGCATTAGCTGATGTGGACTCATGGTGGGGTGTGTAGGAAGGGTGAGACACCAAAGGA